GGGCTAGTGAGTTAGAATCTGCCTTTAAAAAAACAGACTCATTCGTACACAGCTATTAAGAGCTGAATATGAATCAGCACACCCTGAGGAATAAAATACACAGGTGGAAACAAGTTGCATAGCTGAAAAAACTGCCAAAAATGTAAGTAATTTCTGGCTGTCTCCCAATAGAGTATGCAATAATTATAAGTTTCTTGTAGTACTGCATTGTTTCATCGAGGTAAGGTTGGTTTTATATTCCGACATTCAGACTTTCTCCTTAATTATTCAAGTATTCTTTCTTTGCCAATTCAAAATGGGTAAATCATATTAGCAACAAATTAATATCAAAGTACAACATTGTTCACAGTGATTAAAACAGTGCTAATGTTGTTTAAAGTCATACTTAGATGTGTTTTCAGACAGAATATTGAAAGTAACGTGGTAAACAAAATAGGGCGCGTCACAAGTTGTCACCTAATAAATGTGCAAAAATAAAACCAACTTTACCTCAATCTTTCCTTCCACGTGACGTTAGTAATAACTAGAATAGTGGCAGTTGCCACTTAACAACCTTCTGTCAAATATATTAAAGATAAACAAGCACTTGATAAGCTTCTAGTGCTGCTTTACACATCTTTCGGGGTCTCATCAAATGAGTAAACATTCATGAGTAAATCTGAAACGTGCGGGAACCTCCTCTCCTTGTTCAACAAACTGGCTTACTTCCAGATCCTTCATGTAATATTTTCCGTAATATGAACCACAAGTTGTGTATTTTAAGAGTTTTTAAACGATTAATGTCTACGATGAAAATATAAACTCAAACATGCTGATGTTAAACTAGCTAACGTTAATTTACTGCCGCCTCGCCCCATACGTGGAGGAGTTTCAATCAAAACGACAACATATTTGAGAAAAGGACGAGACCATCAAAGTAAACCGTGTTAAAAAGTGGTTTGAGCTCTCTTATATATCTTTAAAATCAGCCAATTAACCCTAATTCCAGTACCTTATCCTTCGCTTGACACTCCAAAACTTCCACGGGTCCTGTTTCAGATTATGAACGTTTCAGTTTTAATAAACACAACTTTATCCGTCAAAGACCGTCCCACCGCGGGTGTTGCTGGGAAATGTCGTTTCTTAAGATATCAAATTTGCGCACATTCCAACTGACAACAGGTCACAAAAGAACTACAACATCCAGGAAAACCCAGCGTAAACTCGCTAAACAAGTGAGGTTTGTTTTCAAGGTCCAATCAGAGGAGTACTTTTCTAAACGTGTAAAACTATTATTTAACCCTCACTTTTGAAGAAAATTAAAATATCGCCTCAATAAAAACATTAATTATATGGAAATTTAGATTTTCTCAATATGCCCCTGCCCTTAGATCATGCCAATGGCTCATGCCTATTGCCTAATCATGTCAAATGTAAATGGTGCATGCAATTCTTAACTTTGTATGTGTATGTATATATTTAATACGCATTCTATTTTAATCTTTAAGAGAACAACATCCATAACTTTGCAGAACATTCAGGGAGTGTCTAAGGTTTTCCACAATGAGTCATACTTGTATGGCAGCCTTCTTTTTGTGTATCCAAAGCAGAAAACCAGCCATGAAAACATGTCTCCCTCTCTCATTCTCTACTGCAGCTGCCGCATGCACAGATTAACCTCAATATTTATGTCAAAACACATGCTCATGATTAACCATATCTTCCGTCATATTTTAGTTGTACTGATACAGTCTTGTTCTGCACACCAAAGCAATTAAATTGTTAGTTTTACCCATTTAAAACAATTTCTTTTGTTGCCATTCATAAAGACATTTGGCAGATGCTTAATTTAAATAAAACAATCCAAGCACAGTATTATTATTGTACATACCTGCAAGGTGCATTGAAAATACACGCAGCCTCTCAGGTTGACTAACAAGTACTACATACTTGTGCTTATTAATAATGGGGTTAAGGTTTGGGTGGAGTTGTGGTATGGTCTGCCTTTAAAGACTGCACACCCTGATAGGCTAACAAGATGCTTAGAAAAACTGGGGGGGAAAAGTCTTGATCTCAAGGATGGAATTTATTAAACGTGTGGCCAGAACATTATTATTATTATTTTTTCAGAAGCTGCTTCTAAAGTGAGCTGCATGCAATGCTTTTAATGTACACACCTAACCCTGCCCCAAACTCTACCCCTCACAGTGATGTCACTTGAGTGCATTGTGTCTGAGATTGCATGTCTGAGACTGTATGTCTTAGCTTGCATAGGCAAGTCTGCAGTCAGATATTATTATCTGAGGAGGCATTAGTATGCTCAGATTATTTAATGCTTTTAAGAAATGGCATGAATGTAAACAAATGAAAATAGTTTAAATAGTTATCTAAACATGAAACTAAGTAAAGTTTCACAAACTAATTTCGAGGGGAGCACGTGATATGATTGACCACAGCTGGTCCCTATCAGTAATCATTAGATATTAGATATAGAATCAGATTATTCCAAATTAGCATAAATATCCAGCCTAACTTTACTCCCTATCTTAGTTTTGGAAGACCTCCCCATCCACCCCTTCTCAATTCTAGGATCCGGCAACATGGCAGTTCAGTTGTTAGCACTGCTGCCTCACAACAAGAAGGTCACTGGTTCAAGTCCTAGCTGGACCAGTTGGCATTTCTGTGTGGAGTTTGCATGTGTGTCCCCGTGTTTGTGGGGGTTTCCCCTGGGGTACTCTGGTTTCCTCCCACAGTCTAAAGACATGTGACACAAGTTAATTAAATAATAGTAATGGTCAAAGCGCTTAATACTGAGCTTCTCAAAGTGAGCATGCACAGGTGTGGTTGGTGGTCTATTCTTATAAAGCCATCTTTGTTAATCAAGGAATAGGCCAAACGAATGGGGGGAGCTCTCGAGAATTATCTTGTATCCCTCTAAATGCTCATTGATCAGGCGGAAGCCTTGGGCTCATCTATCTCCAAGCTCAGGGTTCTCTCCCAGGAAAGCGTGCCAAAACTGCTAAATCGTCAAACATTATCTAAGAGTGAACTCTTGAAGTTGGTGGGTCATTCCGCTGTGGCAACCCCTGATAATCAGAAAATAAATAGAAGGAAAGTGAATGTTGAGAACACGAAACTAGGTGTTCTCAGTAGTAGGTGGCGGCAAGTCGTCACTGTGAATTGTAAATGCGACACCTTTCTGAATGATTCACTGAAATGATTACACAGTAGTATTTATTTAGAAGACTAATGAAACATCTTCAGCCCTATTATGCAATGCAACCTCAGGCATGGCACAATTGTTTTTGTAGTTTCAGTGTGCTACAAGTATCATTTTCATATTCTGTGCCAAGTTGATTGTGGCCGTTTTTGCACCTATGATGGTCTACGAAGGTGCAGCGCACCTATATTGAGGCAACTGAAACTGAAGCTGAGACTGCACCATTGACCAAATAAATGCTGATCTAAAGTCAATGAGGTTAACAATATGTGCTCGAGTTTTAAATGCACATCACTTATTATGCATACAATACAATCATATGATAGAAAATATAAGACAAACCCAATAAAAGGTCATTTGCCAACATATTTGTTGCATTTTTGTGCAATGTACATATATTAAACAAATAAAAGAGGAGGAACACTTTAAGTAGGAAAGGCCTTTTTCCACACTTACCTGTATTAATGCAGGAGGCCACTGCAGACCAGCTATTATGAAAAGGTTAAATGTGTCAGTCATGTAAGCAGCCATTGATAACTTCACTGTATTTGAACTTCACTGTATCTCTCCCCAGTGCTCTCTTGTTGTATCTGTGATCTCCTGAGAGCTTGCTAATAAAATTAATATGAAATTCCAGGAGTCAAAGATTTCACCATAACATCGCAGTCGTTTATTGCTAAATGAGATACACAGGATGGGATGAGAGCGTTATTGAAATGTCAACATGCTTATTTTGCTAAACTAAAAAATATAATAAACATGTGAATATTGTAAAATCAAACATGCATCATACTACACAGAAACACTAATAACTACAGATATCTGTAGCATGACAGATCAACTAAGAAACAATGGTTAGATATATTAATCTTTCCATCTACCCAATCTAACGTCTGGCAGTTTGTCTTCATAATACTTGAATATGTTCATCATTTTGAACAATCTCTTTTGGTAAAAAAAAAAAAAAAAGCGAATTTTCTTTAAAAAGAAAATTATTGTTTCCCTTTTTTTAACAATTCAACAAACCTTGATGGGAGTATTTTTTGTGAACGATGGCATGGAAGTGCATTGAATCAAGTATGAACAATAAATATTTTGTTCTTTATGACGTTTTGTCATTTTGCTGATACTTTTCTATACTAAACCCAAGGATGCTCTCACAGTGTTTATCATATCACTACATTATTTAAAATTGCTTATCTTGCACCTTTTATGACAGTAAAGTGACAGTTCACTCAAAATGAAAATTCACTCATCATTTACTTAATTACCTCAAGAATACCAAACCATTTAGAGTTTAACTTTCAAAAGAAGATAATTTGAAAAATGTTGCAAACCTGTAGCCACTGACATCCCTAGCGTGAAAACCAAATATACAATTAAAATAAAAGTTTTTGAAAGTTTTGTTTTTAACAGATGAAGAAAGTTCTGGTTCAAAACAAGTAAACAATGACAGAATTTTCATTTTTGTGTGAACTATCCCTTAAGCAGATGTTTAGGCAGTTATAAAGTGCCAACAGTACATCAAGCATCCCAGCAAGCGTTTTTTTGTTTTTAAAAGATGTCTAATAGACGTCTAAACATAGTCGTCTTGGCTTAAACAAGGCTAAATATGGGCTGTCAGTGAAAATCTAATAGACTCTCTAAGAATAGGCCAAAACTAGACTAGTCATCAAATAAACAGAAATGAATGATTACACAAACAAAGTCTGTCTAATCTGTCTATTTGACGACTAGTCTAGTTTTGGGCTATTCTTAGATGTCTATTAGATTTTTGTTGACAGCTCAAGTTTAGCCTTGTTTTAGTCAAGCTGTCTACGTTTAGACCTCTATTAGACATCTATTAAACACAAAATTGTTTGCTGGGGTAGAGTTTCTTCGCTGTTAACCCTCCTTGTTTGTACTTGCACACACAGGTCACCTCTCAATGATTTCCCCCTGCGAGGTCGAGCAGTGACCCTGCGGCCTCCTGAGCCTCTGCATCGAGCTGCAGGATCTCAACCGTCTCCAGGTCCAACTCAGTGTCTCCTGGGAGAACCAGGTACTGATACTGCTGATACTGATAGTAGTGTAACTCAATGTACCCACTGTCAGCCAGTGGATCCTTCTCTGTATCCTCGCCAGTGACTTCAGGAAGCCCCACAGACTCCATGGGGATTAGCTCTTCATGATCAGGTGTAAAAGAGCACGGTGGGTTCGAAGACAGAGAATCTAGATCTGAGGAAGGATGGAAAACAGCAGTTTATGTAATGCAGCCTCATAGTAATTTACAAGAATTTTCTTTCATTCATTTCAAAGGCTAAAAACACAAATACTGTACTAAATGTGCCATGGCAGTTTTAAAATTTGGAAAATTTTGTTAAGTGCAACGAAATCAAGTGACTCTATTTAACTTTATTTATTAAAAAAAAGTTTCACTGACAAGCTTTAACGTATTTTGTAAATATAAACAAATTCTGTTTTTGATTTTGCTGCAACTCACTCCACAAAAAGTTGGCACAGAGGCTAAATAAAAGCTCAACTACAAAATCACAAAGGCCCAAAATATGCAATACAGTGGTCACTCGTTATTTGCGGCGGTTACGTTCTAAAGAAAACCCACAAGCATCCCAGCGAAATCCACAAAGTAGTCAGCATTAATTTTTAAAATTATTATTGATGTTTTAAGGCTGTACAACCCCTCACTTAACACTTTATACACTTTTCTTTCTTGTTTAAACACTCTCAAAGTTCAAACCTTCATAGAAAAAATAAGTCCAGTAGGCCTATTATAAAATGAAACCAAAGATCAAAACCTGTTGTCAGGCGCAAACATTCATTGATGTCCGCAAATGGTTCATAAAGCTTTTAGCTTTTGTGCGGATAATGTTAGCATCCAGCCTAATGTTCTTTTTCCTGCAGTCACTGATCCACAAAGTGATAGCACACTACATCCTTGAAGGGGTCGCACTTCGGATGCGCTGTGCACGTGACAGGTGGAAGTAACACACACCGGACGCGCTCATTCACATGTTATTCAAAATGAAAGTATTCAGATGCCGCTCTGTGGCTCAGCAGAATTATGACCAGTGTCCTGAGTTGTAGCAGGGCATCACAGACAGCAGCTGACTTGCGGCGCAGATGTGCTTACCTTGAGAGAAACCTATGTTTACAATTTTAATGGCGCTGCGTGGTGCAACGCATTTGGTGTGCAACGATGGTCTTGCTGAAAAATAAACTCACACTGTTAGCGATCGAAGATTTATGGTAATTTGGCAAGCTGAGCTTATTCTGCACAGAAGACATGGAGGAGGCGCAAAACAAAATGCGCTGTAAAAAAAGCATGACAAATAGTACAAAAAAAATCTGCGAAACTGCGAGGTGAAAGGTGAATCGCGTGAATCGCATTATAGCGAGAGATGACTGTATCAGGAATACTTAGGAAATCTGCACATACAGTAGTCTGCTGCGGCATCAAGAAATGCAACAAATCTTTGTCACTTCAGACGAGAATGCAGAACGAGAGAGATTCTGCTGGGTTATCTGTCCCAGAGCTCATCTCAAAGTCAAAAAGACAGAGACAGCTGTGCTGAGGTCAAAAGAGACCACGTTTCAGCTTTCGTTTGTAAAAATTTGACAATTACAATCCCCAAACAATTGCCAAACAATTAAGCACTGCAATTAGAAGCAAAGTTGATGTGACACTGTGTTAAATATGACTCTGTTGCAACTTTTTTAATTAAAATTTCCTTATATTTATAGCATATAATTTATTTGGTCAGTGAAAACATTGTAAATCTTTTCTTAGCACTTTTGCCGGTTAAACTTTATTTTGATGGTGCCTATTGCACATTTTGTTGACTAATAGTTGGCACTACATGCTAAATACTTCTCATTTGAGTATTAGTAGACTGTCTGCTTAATATCTGCTGATACTGCTCCTTCAACAGACATTTAACTGACTATAAGAATATTTGCAAGTACATGTCAACTTACACTAACCCTAACCCCAACCTAACAGTCTACTTATAATCTGTTGAGAATTAGTTGACATGTAGATGCAATGTAACAAAATGCGGACCATCAAAATAAAGAGATACCCTTTTGTCAGTTAAAAAAAGTTTAAGAAAATAAACAAATAACAATCCTGATATCACTGCACTTTAGAGTAGTTTTATTTAATTGTTGCTATGTGGTGAAAGATTTGTGCAGACGCGCAGAGCAAACCTTCTATTTTGTGAGACTACTTTACTTGACTGACCCTGTAGTAAAACAGTCTGACAGAGAGGCCAGTCATTATGTCAGTGTGGCTATAGGTTGCTAGGGTAATGTCTGGCTGTGACCAAGACAACAGCTCACAAAACACTGTGCCTGGAAAAAGTGGATAAAGGGTTTACCGAAATGTAAGAGAAGCCCACACCATATACAGCTGTGCACAAAATAAAGGCAGCACTTGAAAATTCGCTGAAAGTTTCACCGGATTTTTGGTTTATAGAAAAGGTGTGCGTTTTGGTCCTCTTTATTAATACCTCAAGGACGTCAAAAGTAGGTTTGTGAAGGTCTGCATAATAGTTTGCACTGATCTGTAATCAAATCAATAATAGTAATAATAATAATAATAATAAGTTAATCACAATATAGATTTGCTTTCTATTGTGCAACTGAGATTTTTTATTGTTGTTGTTGTGTGTTTTGCTATTGAGATAGAGCAGCATAGACTCACATGAGTCTGAGAAACCAAACGAATCAGAAGTTAGGTCTAGAAGTTGGATGGCCTAAAAAGCACTGCATATTGCATTAACACGAGGGTGAAAAAACACAATTACACTTATATTCATGAGAATTTGTGTGACCAACATAGAAATTTGGTTTAAAATGTGACTCTTGTGTGAGTTCTTCCACAGACATCCCAGCGCTATTGAATTTGACAATGGGCCTTATATTTTATTTAGCTAACATGAGCACACCTCTTAAATTCCCCACCATAAATCTGCTAGTCAAAAACGATTTGCAGACTTTCATTAAAGCTAAAGGGACAGTTTAGCCAAACTAAAAATTAACTTATCCTCAAGTGATACTAAACTTTTATGGGTTTCAATATTGTTTTGAACACAAAATAAGAGATTTTGCAAAAGTTTGGTAACCAGTGGGAAGTTGTTTATGGTATTCAAAGCTACTGATCTCCAACATTTTTCACTTTATTTTTTGCTCAACAAAGAAAAGAAACTCTAAAAGGCAAAAACAAATGAAGGCAGAGCAGTAAATATTGTCAAAATATTTGGGTGAACTATCTCTTTAAATGTAAAACTTGTATTGAGTGTCTGACCTGACAATTCCATGGTCTCATTAAACATGTTCTGCCCATTATCAGTCGCCTCCAATCTGTTCAGAATAGAGGTCAGATATGCTTGTATTAGTATCGTAAATCTTAATGAATCATGCAGTTTATATATAATCACATAATCCAGTATCACGCATCACACAGGTGGTGCATAAACAGAAAGCAAATCCAACTCACAAAACAGGCTTGTTCAACAGGCTTCTGTTTGTGCGATGACAATAATGTGTTTTTCTGAGAACTTCCAGAAGAGCGGGACGATATTCTGGACAAACGCGCCATAATGAGCCTTTTCCAACTGACTGCAAAACACCACAGTAACAGACAATACAAATCAGAAATTTTGAAAATGAAAAAAAAAAAAATATAGAAAAATAGAAAAAAATATAATAATACATAGTGTTTAGCTTAAATGAGTACACCCCTTACGAATCTCTTTTTAAATTAATACTTTCTAAAGGACGCTTTAAAATAAGATATTATAAGAAAATGTGTACATACATTAAATAAGTCAGTACCAAACTGAGACTGCAACTAATCTAACAAAATAACTTGAGATCATGGTGCAAAAATTTGTCAACCACAATGAATATGTTGGGGGGAAATATTAAATACATTTTTTTTAATAAAGAGACCCATTCATTCATTAATTTTCTTGTCGGCTTAGTCCCTTTATCAATCTAGGGTCGCCACAGCGGAATGAACCGCCAACTTATCCAGCAAATTTTTATGCAGCAGATGCCCTTCCAGCCGCAACCCATCTCTGGGAAACATTCACATACACACACTCATACACTACGGACAATTTAGCCTACCCAATTCACCTGTACTGCATGTCTTTGGACTGTGGGGGAAACCGGAGCACCCGGAGGAAACCCACACGAATGCTGGGAGAACATGCAAACTTCACACAGAAACACCAACTGAGCCGAGGATCAAACCAGCAACCCAGCAACCTTCATGCTGTGAGGCGAACGTGCTACCCACTGCGCCACTGCGTCGCCTAAAGAGACCCATAAAAATACAATTTGCTAATTTGCTAAATACTAAAATTTTGCTATATTTTCTTTCAACACCTCCTTTGAATTAAAATGTAGTTATATTCATTAAATATTTTAAATGCATCAAAAAATGTAAAGTCTATTTTTACTGAGAAATAGATCAAATATACATTTTCAATGGGTGTGTACTCATTTATGTACAAAATATATAATTCCTGTATTTTTTTTTTCTTTTCGGAAAAGCCTTATTAACAAGCTGTGGAAAAAATAAGATAAAGTTTCTAAGTTTCTCTAAATATATAATGTAAAGTTTGACCAAATTGTGTTATGGTTACACAGTGGCTCAGTGGTTAGCACTACAGCAAGAAGGTCACTGGTTCGATTCCCGGCTGTGTCAGTGTGCATTTCTGTGTGGAGTTTGCATGTTGCACCTCCAGGTGCTCCGGTTTCTCCCACAGTCCAAAGACATGTGGTATAGGTGAATTGAATAAACTTAAATGGTCTGTAGTGTATGTGTGTGAATGATTGTGTATGTATGTTTTCCAATACTGGATTGCAGCTGGAAGGGCGTCCGCAGTGTAAAACATATGCTGGATAAGTTGACGGTTCATTCCGCTGTGGTGAACCCTGATGAATGAAGGGGCTAAGCCGAAAATGAATGAATGTGTTTTTTATTTTTGCAAACTACTGATGAGTGATTTATTCTACATTTTAAATGCAGCTGTCGACCTTTAGATTACCTAACAACTGGTCAAAAAAGAAGTCATTATTTTGTGGCAGGTTTATCTTGATTTTAACTTCGGAAAAGTTAAGAATGCAATAATTGTTGCAATAAACCTGATTTTAGTAAGCTTTTGTTATTTTGACCAATTGTCAATTGTGAAATGAGCATTTTAAGAAGCATGACGTACTTGACTCTTGTCTCGATGTATTCGTTGGAAGCTCTTGCTCAGGGATAGGTTGTGTCGGACAGAGTTCCTCCATCCACCTGGAGCCTCTTTATAATAGGGGAAGTTTTCCACAATCCACTCATAAATGCCCTTCACGGGGAGGCTCTTCTCAGGCGAGTCTTCTATTGCCATGAAGATGAGACTGCTGAAAGAGTACGGCGGTTTGGCCGGGGATGATGGCAGATGTTGGGCAGGAATGGGATCGAACATTTGGGGCAGTGTGCTGATTTTAGGCAAAGGCTGTAGGGGCAATAGATTCCCTCTTTGATGCAGCCAGTTGAGGCAGGTCAGGTCATCCTGCTCGGGTGCTGTGGAGAGACTGAGGCAATGTGAGCCTCCAGAGACCCGCGGGCTGGATGAAGAGTGGAGATGGGAGGAATGGAGGGACGCAGGCTGTGGAAGAGAAGGGGAAAGAGGCAGAGCTTCTGAATTATTTCGGGGGAAATGTAGAGGAGAGTGGGGTGGCAGTGCTTGTGTGTTTTTCTCCATCTGTCTCCCAGTTGTAAGATACAGGTCCACACATTCACCTGTTGAACTGTAGAAACACACAGAGGGCTTGATGTTAATGCACTGTACACACAGGCCTAGAATAAACACTCAAATCTCAATGAAAATTGTTGTACACTGCAAAAAAATGCTTTTCTTACTTAGAGTTTTTGTCTTGTTTCAAGTCCAAATATCTACAAATTCTTAAATCAAGAAGCATTTTCTAGACAAGCAAAACATATTGTCTTGTTTTAAGAAATAATATGCCAAAATGAAGTGAGTTTTTCCTTAAATCAAGCAAAATAATCTGCCAATGGGGTAAGTAAAATAATCTTGTTTTTCGATTTGTGATAAGATTATTTTGCTGGATTTAAGGAAAAACTCACTTCAATTTGGCATATTATTTCTTAAAACAAGACAATATGTTTTGCTTGTCTAGAAAATGCTTCTTAATTTAAGAATTTGTAGATATTTGGACTTGAAACAAAACAAAAAATCTAAGTAAGAAAAGCATTTTTTGCAGTGTAGGTGAGAATATGAAACAGAGTTCCTTGCCAGTAGGCCAGATAATTAAATATATAGAGGCCTATATATTCTTACAATGCCTGAAAGTATTATGCGGTTTAGCATAAATATGAAATTACAAAAAATTGTCGTAATATAAATTTTTCACTTATAAAATTTTTTAATGAGCAGTCAAGATAACAGTTTAGCTTTTAATTAAAATGTAATTTAAAAACTGAAGAAATCTCCTCAGGTTTGAAGTGGCTGATGAATCTGTTATTAACATGAGTAAAAAGTATTACAATGTATTTTCTCTGCGGTTTATTAGGCAGAACGGTTTAACTTTTGAAAGCCATGCACAAAACAATAATGCTATATATATATGTATATAGCATGTATATGTATATATGTAGAGTAAAAGCCATTTTAAGGTCAAAATTATCAACACCTTTAAGCTATATATTTTTTTTCAATAGTCTACAGGACAAACCATTGTTATACAATAATTTCCCTAATTACCCTAACCTGTCTAGTTGACCTAATTAACCTAGTTATGCTTTTAAATGTCACTTTAAGCTGTATAGAAGTGTCTGAAAAATATCTAGTAAAATATTATTTACGGTCATCATTGCAAAAATAATATAAACCAGTTATTAGAAATGAGTAAAAACTATTATGATTAGAAATAATTTGAAGACATCGTCTCTCTGTTAAAAAGAAATTAGGTAAAGAAATTAACAGGCGGGCTAATTATTCTGACTTCAACTGTATATACATATATAAGTTTTCCTTCAATTTACTTTGAAGTAAATCTTATTTTTGAGTAAACTTTTGTTAACATTTCTTCAACATTTTATAAATACAATTATCAAAATTACAATTTGTCAAAAATTATTTCATTTTTTCAGAAATTTTTATACAGAATGATATCAATGCTCAGAACTTTGTCCAATGCTCCAACCCTAATCTTCACTTAAAAGTGAAAACACTGCCATTTCAATTTGAATAGTCATATCAAATAAATCCTTATCAATTAAAATGTTTTTTTTAATCTGACATTTAAAAGTACCAACATCATACCTTTATAGAACAAAAACATATAAATATAAGAAAATCATAGTTAAAATATATATTACATAAGGGACATTCTACCAGAAACTTATCAAAAATGTGACAGGGCCTGACTTAAGCTTGTCATCCTTTAAAAAAATCATACAAAAACAAGCATAAAATCATAGCATTCAATGAAAAAACACATCTTTGATCACTGTTAGCTTCTTATCCAACACATGATGTCACTTCAAGTGATGCCTTAAATGTGTTTTGCACACATTTTATGTTAAATGGAATGCAAATGTGACAGGACTGACAGAACCATGGGGAAAATTGTATATTTATTTGTATGATGTATTTGTAGTATTTATTTGTAGAATTTTTTTTTATAATTGTATGTTTTTTTATCAGTTGATGTGAATGATATCAACTTAAACTTTGCTATTTCTGAAGTATTTATTTCTAAATAACAGTTAACTATTAAAAACTATTAAAGCTGAAGATTTTACTGGATCATGACAGGGTTTGTAATTTTGTAAATTGTTATTAATAAAGAGAAAAATTCTGAGAACCAAATGAATGACATATTCCTTCATGGACCAGCTAACAGAAATCAACCATCAGTACATTTTAGAAATGTTCTGGCATGAAAAACATTTTATTCACTGTATTTGATTTTATTTCAGGCATAGATAATGTATGTTTCTGGTAGAATGTACCAAAAATCACCGGACATGCATTTTAAACCCTATTGGTATGATCACTGTATGATCTCAAATGCAAGTATTGCATGAATTATATTTAAAAAATAATAATTTAATAATAAAAAGAACACAAAGTATTAAACCCTGAAGTGAGTGTCCTTCAATACAAATACAATTACGTTTTTAGTCCTGAGTGCATAAGTAAATGATTGAGCAAAGGTAGTCAAGCAAAAAATAACGCACCATTCAACTGGTGCTGAACAAACACAGGTTTGATGGACAGCTAGCAGCAAATTAAAGCAAAATATGAGCAGACTGCTTAAGATATCATTTTTAAAAAGCAATTCGACTACTCCAGTACATGACAAACACGGAAAGACAAGGCACATGGTCTCATACACCTGAGAAAATGGCGCAAGAATATTAAGTTACATTTCGAATAATTACCCAAGCATTCATGCTCGCGTGAAGCCAATACAAAAGAGACAGAGGAGCGAAAAACTTACCAAAACAAACAGCTGTGAATTTATTGCATTCGACCTCTTATTCTGCTCTCTTGTAAGTTTAAAGTTTCTGTCAGCGTGTTAAAAAATCTGTAACAGGAGCTGATATGTCTCTCACTTTCCCGTCCTGTCTGCGTTCTGTCCTTTCTCACGTTTCCTTGGCAACCAGAAGGACGCTTTGCAGCCGGCGCGCCTCTACGACCCCTCCTTAAAGGGCCACGATATATCTGCTGGAAAAAAAGCATGGTCTGTTTATCTTTTGTTTTTACAACATGCTAGCAGCTAAACGCAAAACGGAATAGCTTACTTTTAAATATTTCAGCTGTAACAGTCGGTCCTCTTCTCCTTAGCATAGACATTTTAACATTTAAAACTGTTTAATATGGAGGACGAAATCTAGATAAATAAATATATAATTTAATAACTAAATCCACAAATTCTTGCATAAATAAAACAATATATAAATAAATACGCATATACATAAATAAACAAATAAATATCTGCATAAATCATTCATTCATTTTCTTTTTGGCTTAATCCCTTTAATAATCAGGGCTCACCACAGCAGAATGAACCGCCAACTTATCCAGCATATGTTAGTACGCAGCGGATACCCTTTCAACTGCAACCCAGCACTGGGAAACACCCATACAACAGAGCACCAGGCGGAAACCCATGCCAACATGGGGAAAACATGCAACAACTGCCAACTGACCTGCCAACTGACCCAGCCAGGGCTCAAATCAGCGACCTTCTTGCTGTCAGGCTACAGCCTTACTTACTGCACCACGGTGTCGCCCTATTTCTGCATAAATAAATATATAAATAATTAATAGTGCGGGCAGATAAATTTTTTTATAAATTACACCAATGTTGGGGAATACGAAAATGCTTAACTGAAAGTTTATTTGTTTCCTCTCCCTTTTAAAGGTTTATTAATTTTTTATGTAATCCGGTATTAACGGTTCCTCAGCTCCACATGCAAATGAGAGGGTGTCTGTCGATCATCAGAAGGCGGTCTTTATGCCACCATTGGTTGATCACTAGTAAAATTTTTGATTGGCTTATGATGATTGACAGGCAGCCTCTCATTAGCATGTTAAGCTGAGGAAAAATAACTCTATATTTAAAGTTAATTTTATATTTATTTATTTGCGTATTTATTTACATATCATTTATTTACGCAGGAATTTGTGGATTAAGTTATTCGTTTATAAATTTATTAGCATATTCTTTATCGTTTTTACAGATTTCATTCGCCATAGTTTAAGCGAATAGGTTGTTAATAATTCATCAGATGTAATTAATTCAAATTATTATTATTTTTAAACATTTAAGTTTTAGAGTAGAAATGATACAGAAAAATACATTTTCCGCAACGTTATACCGTGTTTGGATATCAATACTGTATATTCAGTGGGAAAAGCATTCATTTATTTTGTTTTAACAAAGCACAAACATAAGCTGTACAAAGAGCAACAGTCAGCTTATGGAAGTAAAAAGGGAATTAATTTCCTCCCTAGGGAAGTTAACTGATAGGGAACTATAACTGGTTAAACTTTTAAAGACAGACCTGTTTGAGCACTGAAGTTGTCAATCGATAAATTCAACTTCTTTTTTTAAACTCATAAAATTTGATAGCTGGATTTGTGCTATAAACTACATTTCCCATGTTGCTAGACATCTAGTACCACCAATCAAAGTAATAGCAGTGATAAGCTCCACCCACTCCCATGGTGCACCGCAAATAATGTAAAACAATATAACAATGTGAAACAGTCCTGGAGGGCCGGTGTCCTGCAAAGTTTAGTTCCAATTCCAATCAGACACAGCTGGGCTAGTTCAAGCTCTTATACTGCAGTCAAACTAATGTATGCAGACAAACTAAAGCTCAGTCTGAACTGAGCTGGGAAATTGCATCACAAGGCTACATAAGACCAATCGAAGGTCAAAACATGACCTATCTGGACAGGAATTAAAAATTTCTCATGCACAAACTCTAATGTGACCACGTCATAAAGCACAATTCTGCTGTACGGCACTGAGAAAAGGGGCAGGATTTAACTAGATGATTAGACATTAAAAAAGATCATTCTTTTTTATTCTGAGTTCACCATGCTTGAACTTTTCAATGCAGCGAACTGCAAAACTTGTCACACAAGCTTGGGTTTCCAGTCTGACACATTAGCGTGCGTATGAATGGAAGTCTATAGGGAGAAAAGTGCAGTGTGACCACAGCTTCACTAGACTTTCTAGAAACATCCTTGCAGGTGTCTTGAGGCAAGTTGGAGCTAAAATCTGCAGGACACCGGCCTTCCAGGACCGAGTTTGGACAACAATATCATAATTTATAGAACAATGGTGTCCAAACTCAGTCCTGGAGCCTGGACCAGCTAATCAAGCTCTTACTAGGTATACTGGAAACTTCTTGGCAGTTGTGTTGAAGTAAGTTGGAGCTAAACTCTCCAGGACGAGTTTGGACACCCCTGATATAGAACATACCTTCCTAACAGTGATAAAGTAAGTTAGATGTAGTACTTACTCAGATAGTATATGATTATAGATCCAGACAGTCTTGTTAACAGGTCTTTTTGAGTGATTTACATACTTCTTTGCTTCACATTAAAGATTGTAATGTTCTATTTCACCATTGGATTGATTTGCTGGCTCACTTTAACAAAGACGTTTAAAGAATCCCTATGGGGAAAAGCCTTTATGAAGCAGAGCTGCTGAACAGTGTGCAGGCACTAATGCACTGTATATGTATTGAGCTAAAATCAATTATTTTAATGATGGAAAGCAGCTGCACACACATTAAAAGCCTAAATTATAGGATTTATTTTGCTATAAAGAAGGAAACACTGCTTTTCATGCATGGATTATCAGAAAAAGAAGGACACTTGAGTTGACCGTGTGTTCACCAATTACACATCACATAAGAATCACAGCACAGGGCAGATAAATTAACATGCCTCTTAGAGAAAATTGTGACACTAAAGCATCATGGCAAAGTCACAAGAGCAGTCAAACTGTTATTTTCCCATTTTGTCCATGTGAAAACAATGGCAGAAAAACCAACCAAAAAAAAAAGGTTTAAATATATTTTCAAAAAGATTATCTGCAATTGCCAATGCAGACAGAGGCAATATCAAAGATCAAATCCTCCGTGAAGAAAAACACAATCATGGTAAGTCACTTTTCTGCAGCAATGCCAAAATCATCCCAGTTCAGCACTGACATTTTAAAGTCCCTTCATAATAGAAATAAATACTGGAGGTCATCTGACCAAATGAGCAGTGAGCCAGTAAATGATGAATGGCTGAAAGGCGGCAGATGCCACAGTTATGTACAAGCGAAAGCGGGGTTTGGCGCTGGCTCCTGCACCCATAGAGTCTGCGGAGATTGAAGACAAGATCTTCATTTTTAGAGAACGAACCTGAAAATGACAATAATATTCATTTTAGAAACAATAAAAACATTCGATCCATTTACAGTTTTTTAATAAAAGCAGAAAATCTTTCATGCTTTTTGGACAATAATTTACATGACAACACCATTTTGGGGGCCTAAAAACATGACCTTCGGAAAAAAATGTGTATAATTGCACAAGCTCTTATTGAAAACGATACGGTTTATGATTGAAAAATGGCAAAATAAATAATTAAATAAAAAAAACTTAATGAAAAAGACGACTTTCATTCATTTTCCTTAGGCTTAGTCCCAGGGGTCACCACAGCGGAATGAACCACCAAATTATTTTACACAGCGAATGCCCTTCCAGCTGCGACCCAGTACTGGGAAACACCCATACACACTTGCATTTACACACATAAACTACAGTTAATTCCATTCACCTATAGCGCATCTCTTTTGACTGTGGGGGAAACCCACGAGAACATGCAAGCTTTAAACAGAAATGCAAACCGACTCAGACGGGACTTGAACCAGTGACCTTCGTGCTGTAAAGCGACAGTGCTAACCACTGAGCCACCATGGCACCCCCCCAAATACGACATATGTAGGCATATTATAGGAATGTGTGAGAACCTGGCAATCACAACAATGGTGGACCACATGTAGGAAGATGTTGCGTTCACACCAGACGCAGATGAAGCATCAAGTGCGAGTGATTTACATGTTAAGTCAATGCAAAGATGCGAATAGACATCCTGCGGCATGATACGGGCGAATGAGGAGGCGCGAGTTGAGCATTTTGCACGATTCGCTTGAGTTGGAAAATCTGAACTTCAGCAGACATTCGCGCCGCGATAACCAATCATAAGGTTTGTCTTGTAGGGGCGTCATTATGACGTAACGCCTGTTGTTAGTGTCCCAGAGGGAAATCCTCTTGCGAACACCAGACAACAGGTCATCAAACTGGGCTCGGCTTAGTCTGAAGCATAGTTGAAAGCCTCCATCATCCAGGTATAGTTTCTGGAGGAGTCTCACAGAGCTGGGCGCCCCTCTGAATTATTCTAGTGAACTCAGACACGGCTTTAAACGAATCGACGCGGTTTTTTGCCAACTACTGAACTGATATACAGTATTTTACATCATTATCATGATTCCATGTGAATTGGGATTGTTTTGGCTGTTGTAATGTTGCGATCAGTACACAATTTTTTATTTTTTTTAAACCGCATAATAAAACTTTTCCGTTTCGTTTTTTTTAGTACCCTGTTGTCATGTAAATGTACCCTAAAATGTATAAGCACCATTAAAAAATTCCTAAGCAAAACTCACAATGAAAAACATGAGGGCACAAGATGACCAAGCAAGAGCAACATAGTAACCATCACTGCCGAAAAGCAGTCCACAAAACACCGTCAAAATCATCCTGAAAGACAAAAAAAAAAAAAAAAAAAAGAGAAAAAGGATTTAACAACATAAAACACAGTGCTTTTGTAAAACCTGTCAAACAGAAACGGGCATTCTACAGAAACATACCCCACATATTTGTATCCGCTGTAAGCCACAAGGTCAAACGTTGAGAGGTCTGTGTGAACTGTGAGCAAGTAAAGACTGAGCAACATGACAAGAACTTCAATAATCATCCAAACCAGAGCTGTGCTGGCACACAAACCCAGAACTTCAGGACTGAACCTGTGGAGAAAACATGAACATTAGGAATCATGTGAAGCACGTGTCATAAATACATTTTAGAACTTAATAAATACACTATATAAGCTGCTTTTCCACTGCACTGTATGGCATGGTTTTGCACAGCACATCTCACATCAGTTTGGTTTTGCATTTCCACTGCAGTACCGCTTAAAGTGGGTGGGATTATCACTATAGCTGTCACCTCTACTGCAGTGACACTGTGTATATATAGCAAATGTG